TTCACTCTACAGGTGTTAATGATATTCCCTCCTTTTTAATGGTCTTGATACTCCAGCAGAACAGAAAATGAGGGTTGGAAGAGACCTCAGGACGTCATGTAGTCTAACCCCCTGCTCAAAGCAAGACCATCCCCAACTAGATCATCCCAACCAAAGCTTTGTCTAGCTAGATCTTACAAACTCCAAGGATGGAGATTCTATAACCTCTCTGGGTAACCTGTTCCAGTGCTTTACTACCCTCCTTGTAAGAAAGTTTATTCTGATAGCTAATCTGAACTTCCCTTGCAGTAATTTGAAACCATTGCTCTTTCTTTTGTCATCTGCCACCACTGAGAACAATTTAGCTCCATCCTCTTTGGAACCACCCTTCAGGTAGTCAAAGGCTGCTATTAAATTCCCCCCCCCGGTCTTCTCTTCTCCAGGCAAAATAAGTCCAGCTCCCTCAGTCTCTCAAGACATGTGCCCCAGCCCCTGAACCATTTTTGTTGCCCTCCACTGTACTCCCCAATTTGTCCACATCCTTTCTGTAGTGGGTGCCCAAAACTGGACACAGTACTCCAGATGTGGCCTCACTTGTGCCAAACAGAGGGGAAGAAACGCTTCCCTCAATCTGTTGGCAAAGCTCTTACTAATGAAGTCCAATATGCTGTTAGCCTTCTTGGCAACAAGGGCACATTGTTCGCTCATATTCAGCTTATTGTTCACTGTAACCCCCAGGGTCCTTTTTCGCAGAGCTGCTGCTTAACTAGCAGTCCCCAGACTGTATTGGTACATGGGACTTTGCACGTGTCCTTATTGAACCTCATGAGATTTCTTTTGGTCCAATCCTCCAATTTGTTGAGGTCTCTCTAAATCCTAGTCCTACCCTCAGCGTATCCACTACTCCCTCCCAGCTTGATGTCATCTGCAAACTTTCTGGGGGTGTTCTCCTTCCATCTTCCAGGTCATTGATGAAGATATTGAACAAAACTGGCCCCAAGACCAACCCCTGGGGCACTCCACTTGATACCAGCTGCCAATTAGACATTGACCCAATGACTACTACCATTTGAGCCCGATGATCAAGCCAGTTTTCTATCCACCTTACATACCATTCATCCAACTCATACTTTCTTAGCTTGCTTGCAAGAATGTTGTGTGAGACTGTATTAAAAGCCTTACTAAAATCAAGGTATATCACATCCACTGCTCTACCTACATCCATTGAGCCAGTCATCTCGTCATAGAAGGCAACTGGGTTGGTCAAGCAAGACTTGCCCTTGGTGAATCCATGCTGACTGTACCTAATCACCTTCTTCTCCTCCCCGTGCTTAGAAATGGATTCTTTGAGGACCTGCTCCATGATTTTTCCAGGGACTGAGGTGAGGCTGACCAGTCTGGGTCCTACTTCTTCCCCTTCTTAAAGATGGGCACTATATTTGTCCTTTTTTAATCATGGAACTTCTCCTGATTGCCATGAGTTTTCAAAGATGATGGCCAATGTCTCTGCAATCACATCAGTCAACTCCCTTCACGTCCCTTGACAGCTGCAACTCCAACTGTGCTTTGGCCTTCCTGATTTCATCTCTGCATGCCCAAACAACTTTTATACTCCTCTTTAATTTTTTTGTCCAAGTTTCCCCTTCTTATAAGCTTCCTTTTTGTGTTTTAGCTCACTGAAGAGTTCCTTGCTAAGCCAAATTGGTCTTCTGCCATACTTGCTAGCCTTCCTACACATCAGAATGGTTTGCTCCTGAACGCTCAGTACGGTTTCTTTAAAGTACACACAGGTCTCCTGGACTCCTTCCCCCCCCAACCAAGACTGGCCTCCCAAGGGATCCTGCCCATCAGTTCCATGAGTGAATCAAAGCTTATACTTCTGAATTCCGGGGTCCATACTCTGCTGCTTTCCTTCCTTCCTTTCCTCATGATCCTGAACTCCATCTTTTTGTGGTTGCTGCTGTCCAAGTTACCATGCTCTACCATATTCCCGGCCAATTCTTCCCTGTTTGTAAGCAGCAGTAATCAAGCTATTCTTTCTTCAGCATTTTTGCTGTTAGCTACTTTTGTCATCTCTTATTTCACAGCTCTACAGAATGTTTTTTGCTCTTTTCAAAATCCTGGATCCACCCATGGAGTCCTATCTTCAGCAGCAGCTACAGTTTCAGCTTTTGTCAGTAGATCTTGTCTGCTCAGTCATTTCAGCTGTGAAAAGGTTAACTGTGGCTTTTGCCTGAGGAGGGAAGGGAAGGTCTGTGAGATAAAGATTAGGTTCTGTTCCTGGTCTATGGAGCCATAACTCTTGAAAAATCTTTTCTTCATTTTGTCATGCCAAAACCAAGGTGTGTCTTATTTGGCACGTAATATGTGAGAAAATAGGATAAATGACTATTTACATTCAGTCAGGTATCCAGGTTGTAGCTGTACTGGTCTAGAGGAAAAGGCAATCAGGACTCATAGTAGAGATGATATCTTTTATTAGACCAACAAGATTTTTGGAAAAAAAAAAAAAAAAAAAAATAAATTGCAAGCTTTCGGGCACAAACACCCTTCATCAGGCATTGGAGAAAAGATTGTAGAAGTTCTCCCTGCGTAGAAATGAAAGTTCATATTTCAGAGGATTTCACAGAGTCAATAGATGGAGAACTCCTTGGGGCAGTCAGTCTATAGCTGGTACGGAGCATCTAACCTCCTGTGAGGATCTGTGATGATGCAAATAACCTTGAAACAAAGGCAGGAGCAGGATCTCAGGTTTCAGGTGGTCACAGCTGCTTCCTGCTTGGGAAAACATGAAGGCTTCATTTTTAAAAAATTGGCTAAAATTTGATATCTTCCATGTGTCAGGTATCCAGGTTGTAGCCATATTGGTCTACAGGAAAAGGCAATCAGGACTCATAGTAGAGATATCTTTTATTAAGCCAACAAGATTTTTGCAAAAAAAATTCTTTAATTCCAAGCTTTTGGGCACAAACAATGTACATTTTATTTACATTCAGAATATACACACTGTCCTCAACAATGACTGTATTTTCTTCCATGCTACTTCCCCACAGATGCTAACGCTGGAAGCTAGCCACTCTACCATTGCCTTTGAGCATTTACTTCAACCTACAAGCATCACTTCAATCTCACTGGCATAGCACTTCAGCAAGGTTTATCGAGCCATAGAAAACTAGACCCCAAGAAGGCTGCTACATGGAACGGAGTAATTCTGAAGCGATTTAGGGCTGAATATCCGTATGCTGATGGACTATTGCAAAAACACTCTTCCAGGGGCCCTCAGACACTATGTGGGAGGAATGACGAGAGAAACATTGTACTATTCCACTTGGGAAGACTGGCCATAAGATCAGACAATTAGTGCTCCCTGAAACATCACAAAGTGCCATTCCATTGTTCCTGTGGCATGTCAATTCCACTTTATGGTCAACCACTCACAGCTAGGTTACAAATTAGATATAATATAAATACTTAACCTTAGATGTCTTTTAAGACAGGAGACATATCTCTATAAGACATACAAGTCCAGAATCAGTTTAAAATATGACCAGTAACTCAAAAATCAAAGAACTGATAAAATTACTTGAACCATTACTTAATTCTTCTCAAAAAGAAGTAACAGCAGCTTAAATATTAATTTAGAAATTGACAGCCTACCCTACTTGAGTTAATTTTTTCCCCTATATACACTAGGAAAGGACACACCTTGACAAAAGATTTAACCAATTACAGCATTTGCTTGCATACTACACAACTTCAAATAAGATAAACATCTTAGTCTGGGAACGCAGAAGAGAATTTTTTCCAGTCTTCCCTGCCACAGCATGAGTTCACCATGGCTGAATGTTCTTGGCCCCATACATGACTCACCCTCTCCTTCCAGCTCCCAAGGCTCAGTCTTGTCAAATGCCCTCAGCCAAATGCTGCTAATAACAGGTTACTTTGTTAACCTCTGGACTTCAAAATCAAATGGATGACTTAAGAAGAGTAAACCCTACATCTCAGCAAGAGGCTGGATTAGATAACCCTTTAAGTCCCTTCCAACCCTTTGAATCTCTGATTTGACTAGTAAAAGCCTTCTATTAAACTACTAATATTATATTATTTTGTTTATCCCTATAAATAATATATACTTGCACACCACCCTGAATTCTAAGCTGTTGAGGAAAAAAAAAAAATCACATACCTGGTCATGACTGTTTGTCTGTCAGGTCGTATGTCTATTAAGATCTTCATTATTTGAGGTTCAAATCCCATATCTAGCATCCTATCAGCCTCATCCAAAACCTACATGGAACAAGATTAGCATCTACAATTCCTTAGTTAAAAGCATTTAGCAAGACACTACATATAAGGCTCCAATTAAGAGGTAGTTTTATTCTTAAAGTCATTTTCAGAATCACTTATTCCCACTTCCTGTGCAAATTAAGAATAAGGACATTTAGTTCCACCACACTTTTCTCCTTTAACTTTCAAGCATGAGATTCTAAAAAAGTCCGAAGCCTCTGTTCCCTTATCTCTAAGGTTCAGAGGTTTTCTGGTAACCCCCTTAGTTATATCAGCCCCATCTGTCTTATGCCCCTAGCAGATGATACACTTAAGATGCAATTAACCTGTTGCTGCCTGTATTTAAGAATGCTTTTATTAAGCTATTTATGTTCTGATGGGTTTTCAAGGTTGGAATACTTTGTAGATGGGAAAAAGCAGCCAACTCTTTTTACAATGTCTTTTTTCTGACAAGGCAGAAAGTAATTCCCAGGTTAAAAAAATGGGCTTTTCATGTAGTTGGAGAGGAAGGGAAAGGCGGCATATGAGCAGTCATACTAGGTCAGCCCAGAAGTTTGCCCCAGTTTTGTATCATACTCTTGGTAATTGTTTTAGAGAATAAATGCTTGCAATAGACATTTAAAGATCACTAGCTCACCATTTGTTTCAGGAAATAAACTGACAACTGCCCTCTGAAAGGTAGGCAGAAACTTAAATGTTAATACTACTTTCTAAACTACAAATACCTGCACCACCTCAATAGTCTTGTTAGTAATACATCCACTGTTTTTCTGAATTTAAAATCTTATGTTATCTTTATGTCTCTGTTATGTATTCTGGTATGAATTTCAGAGGCCAGTTCTGCAATATATTAATTCCTTTTGTTGGCTTTGCATTAATGTTCTTTTAATTTTACCATGTTCCATAGTTCTTGTTTTCTGACAGAGGGTAAATAGGAAAACTCAAGTTTGCCTTTTCAATCAATTTTACTTCTGTTACTTCTCTTTAGGTTTTCCAGTGTCCCCAGCTACCTGATACTCCAATTTCCACAAGATGTTCAAAACTGAATGCAATAATCCAGGTAAGGGCATACTGATTTATTCTGGAGAGGGCAGAACTGAGTGCTGCCTTCAAGAAGGTCAAATGTATAATGAGCAGAGGAAAGACTATCCATGGGACACTCAAATGTCCCATGGATACAGTACAGGCTTTTAAACTGGGTTTACGTCATGTTAAAATATTTATACCTTGTATTGAAACACACCTCGTTCTCTTTTTATACACACCACGTTCTTTGTTTTGAAAGACTGCAAATGTCTACAGAATTGACCATCATGTATCACTGTTGAAACATCAATAATTCTTTCTTTGGCAACAGAACTTGAAAAACAAACAAACAAAAAAACCCCACATTCCTCCTCCCTCCCACCTTCATTTCTACTCTGAGAAAGTTAGGTTACTCTCCAGTCTTCCACTATCATTCCCATTTTGCATCTGGCCAAAATCCTGATGAGGACTGCCAACATCTTTACTGAATTATTAGTTTTCCCCAGCTATGTACCTGGCTGCCCACCATTATTTCCAAGATGAGCGTGGAGAAAGGAACTGGCAATAGGTGAGGCATGTCGCATTACCTTACTAGCAAGTTCTAGCTTGCTAGTAAAGTAATGCAGCAAGCCTCAACTATTGCCAGTTATTTTCTCAACAGCCCTAATTTACTTGGTAAGGTACCCAAGCTGAACCCTGTAAAAAGAACCAGTCCAAATTATTACAAAGGTTAAATAAAAAAAATAAAAAATAATTTCAAAATGTGAAGGAACAAAATAGCTGTTGAAGCATGTGGTAGCTGTGCAAAAAAAAATAAAAATTAAGAATATTAAGTAATAAATGTCAACCTTTTGATGTCCAAAGTCACTGTTATCTCCATTTTTTCTTAGGACTGGCAGAGACTGGAAGCATTCACAGTACAATACTTTTAGTATCACAATAGAGATTTCTAAAAAAATTCTTGTGAAGTGACCTTTAAAAAGATCACCACAAATTATTTACAATTTTAGAAAGACTATTTGTACCAGGAATCTAATGTTCCCTGGAATTATTTCAAGGTCCACAATGGATATAGTAAAAATAACAGTAGCAAGCAAGACTCAAAGATTGTATCTATAATCTCAGTTTAATTACAATAAATGAAACTTTAAAAAGAAACATCAGTGTTTAATTTACCCATACCCCATTTGGTGTACTACTTTTCCCTGCTGACTACTTGCCAAATATGTTATGCTCTTCAGATTTATGAAGTTGTTCTTTTGAAGGTCATTCAGTCTACCAGGAGTAGCAATAACAATATCCACACCTTTGGTAACCATGTTTATCTGTCCTTTTCGGTCCCCACCGCCATATATGCAAATACTAAAAAACAAAAATTTCCAGAAGCTAATTAGTTTAGTTCAATTCAAATCCCTAAAAATAAGTATCACCATGTTACCTACCATTTATAAGATATCTCTTTTGTTTTACCCTGCTCTCAAGAGGAAAAGACTTTACAATAGGCAAGGGATGCATCAAATACAATTAAATTATTTCAAATATATTGAACATATTTCTCACAGCATTTTTTTTTTTTTTTTTTAGAAATCTTAACCTGGACATGAAATTTAAACAGTGCAAGTATGAGCTGAGTTGACAACTATGTTATTAAACTTGACCCACAGGCATAGAGAAGAGAGATGTATGATTTAAGGGGGAGGGGTAGGGCATGGAAAAGAAGTTGAGGGAACATCAAACTAACAACATAAAAGTGCAGAATAAGGATACTAAGGCTGACCTCAAATCGAAATGACCACCTGATGTAGCAAATTACACCAGGGATTAGTAGCCTACTGCTTATAGCTCAGGTCCAGCCCATCCAACCCCTGGATCCAGCCCTGGATGGGCATGGGGCCTTGCTGGTGGGGGACTATCCCTATGACACTACACGGATGAGTGCTAACTGCGGGCGGGCAGGTCCTAGCATCTGCCTGTCTGCCAGCCTCTGTACCTGGGATGGGTCATTCTAGCGCACAGCCAGAACAAGTTGTCTACCACCAAATTTCCCCATTATCACAAAGTGGAAACATTTAACATTTAAAAAGCTTATCACTGAAAAGGCACTGTAAAAGAGAACTGGAATTCTTTGGATAGCAGATCCCTCATTAGTTTCAACATGCAAGATAACCTTCTGAGGTAAACAATAAATGCAACACAGTTACTGTTGGGAAGAATGTCCAATACCTTATTTACAGGAGAATATCATGAAAATGTTATTCCTAGAAGTTTCAACTCTGAGGGGAAAGATAGGGAAGCTTGAATCAATTAAAGCAGCAAGATGAAGTAAGACTACATAGGAAAGGAAGGTTCAGGGGGAGGGAGACAGGGAAATGTGGCCTTGAGATAAACTTCATCCTGAAAGAAAAACAGAAAATATACACGCACAAATACTCTGACATCAGAAAACACAGAAGAAAGAGAGACATCTCAGAGGAAACCCAACTACTGAGAAAATACTGAAAAGAAACAAAGAAAGAAGAGACAACTGGAATATTTAGTTACTCTATCATAAGGAGTGTGACAGACTCGAATACACCTTCCCCAAACCTCAAAGAGGGAAACCGAATGCATGCTGACTTGTCTGCTATACTAAGATAATGTATTTTGTCTGTACCTTATGGTTCAACTACTGAAAAACTGGGAAGGATAATGATTACCTCTTAATTCCTTTGTATGTATACTTTGAACATTCTGCCTCTACTTGAAGAGCCAGCTCTCGAGTAGGAATGAGGACCAACATACCTGGTCCATCACGCTGATGTCTGGGACTGCAAACAAGAATTCAATACAATTCAGAAAGAAACTTTAGATGCCCAGAAAACTAGTCATGTAAGATACGAGACAATTACCATCTTAAGAGTTTCTTAGATAAAACAGAACTAAATTTCTTAAACTAATACGTTTCATATTGTATTTTTTCACATACTATATGCACCTTTAAAAAAACAGCTGCTGAAATGCATGCGGGATGCATTTGTTACACAAGGGAATGCTGCTAAGATCATACTGACTCAGCAGCACTGTTTAAAGCACAAGAGACTGCCCAAGCAGCAGCTTGTGGGTATCCCTTTAACACAGTGAACTGGTAGGGGAAAACGGGAGGAGAAAGGAAAATAAGTGTGCATATCTGCACAAGTTGAAGAGACATTCTCAAGGTGCTTCTGGGGCAAATCCTGCTGCTGCAGAGGAAGGAACTGTCCAGTTAGTCAGCTGCTAGGGGTTTAACAGAGTAGCTATATGAGTAGACACAGTACAATACTTACTGGTTATGAATGTCCTCAGGTTGAATTTTAATGCCATTTTACAATAAAACAGATAGCCTGGCTATAATATAAATAAATATAAATTAAACAAGTCCTTACATTGGTTGTGAATCCAAATGAACAAATCCAGGCATTAAATAGGCTAATGTCTTCCCTGTCCCTGTCTGTGCTATACCAATGAGATCAATTCCTTGAAGTATGATTGGCCAACCTTGTGACTGAAAAAAAAATGCCTGGCATCAAAATTACGTTTTCTTAAAAGTTATGACAACGTTAATCAGAATTTAAACACCACAGTACCTGAATTGGAGTAGGCTTTTGAAACCCAACTTTCCTGATGTTAGCCATAACATCAGGATAATGCTTAAATGCATCTTCAAATTTACATGCAGGATTAGGGATGTAGCGCTTTTCACCTCCTTTCAAGTCATCACAAGTGATATCATTATTTTCTTTTCTGCACAGAACAATTTTTTAAGGAAAAAAAATTATGTAGTTTTACAACCAGAAAACTAGAAGACCAAACAGGAACATTTACTATGTGTTCTAGTAACTGAATGAAAGTGTGATCAAGAAGTGAATATGAGATTTTTGTGTGAGGAGAGGTGCAGACAAACTACTAAATAAACCACACTACTGCTGCTTTCTTATTCTACTGTAAATGTGATAGTCACAGGAGAGTAGCACTAATGGTGAAAATATCCCTAAAAAGGCTTTAACCAGAATAGATCCTTAGAAAATCCATGAAAAACAATTTTAAAAGTTTACAAACTTAGGACAGAACAAAAGCTTGAGATTTAAGAGCTTGCAATTAAAGGTGTGGACAAACATTCATGAAAAGAGCTTCACGTACCACTCCAATTTAAAGTGCTTCAGCATTGCAAAGATAAAGGTACAGGCCCCTCCCAGCTGAAGGGCTTCACAAGATGCTGGAAGGCAATGCTGTAGCAGAAATCTGCAGCTAGGGGCCAGAAAGTAGAGATCCCAGCATCTCAGACTCAAACTATGATAGCAAGTCTCAAATGAGGTGCCACAAGCCCCTTCAAGGGGTGCTATAATGTGGGCGCTGCTTCTGCCACCAGGTTGAAGTGCCCTGTGCACCTCCTGTAGAAGCAGATCGGGAAGCAGTTGTGGTTGGAGCTCATGTTCCTCCTGCAGCCCTTTCCAGTCTGATCCCACATACTCCTCCTGGAAGCAAATATGCATCAAGTAAGTGGGACTGTCCTGTGCCTGTTTCTGGGAAGAGCACATAGGGTTGGACTGGGAAGGACTGTTGCAACAGTGAGCTCTGGCCACAGCCCTTTACCCTGGCTGTTCAAAGGGATCAGACTGGGCTGGAGCAGCCCTGTGCACCACCTGGCTGAAGCATCTGGGTGCAGGTACAACCATGACAGGTAAAACCCATCCTTCTCCCCTCCCCTTCCTCCTCTAACCCCTGGGGCAGAGGGGAGTTTTGTGCATGACAAAACTCAGTTACATTTCTGTTCTTGCCTATTTAAATCAGAAAAGCCTAATACAAGCATGTATCACTGCCAAAAATGCATGGCTGCACCCTGGCTAAGAACCAGAGGGAAGCACTGAGGGAAGCAGTAGTACAACAATGGTGTTCTTAACTAGGGATGCTGCAAAGTTCCAAAGTTGTGGACGGGTGCCCCAACTCTTAAAAGGCTGAGAGTCACTGATATATGGAGGCTCCTAGGGATGGCCAAATGGGAGAGAGAGCCCACTTGCTGTCTGACCTTCTACAGCTTCCACAGGATGCTCCCTACCACAGGCTTGGCTAGTCACCCCTCATGAGGGTTTGTCAGTTATACAAGTACTGCAGTCACCTAGAGGTGCTGGGAATGGAAGCTTACTACCTCCTCACCTTGCAGTGCCAATAGCACTGTGAGGTTATCTTTCCTCTCCTGCCTGAGAGTCATCCCCTACTGGGAAATGCTCTCCATTTTGTTCATCTTCTAGCTGCTGGGCACTAACATGGCAACACAGTAGCATGACCAAGTCACCTGAAAGGCATTTCTTTGAGATATGGTATTTGATCTTCACCAGATTACCACATGTCAAAGGATGAAGCCAAGACACCGTAGAGGACAGCTTCCTCTAGAACCACTTGTAAACCCTGTGCTACTTCTGGGCCAGGGAGACTAATAACAACTGGTGGGAGTGCATAATCGTAGGGGTTTGGAATGACAAAGTAGCAGCAGCAAGACTTCAGGATAAGCCAGGACACCTTCAGAGAGATGGGCCAGTGTTGCTCCAGCATCAAGTCACGAGCAAAAGAACACTCCTGGCCACAGAGATTTGCCATCTGAAAGCCTTGATCTATTCTTTCAGCATGGGTGAGTCCATTTTTGGATCAGTCATCTGGGAGGTGTGCTGCCTGATCTAGATGGAGCTAGTATCAAAGGTCCTCTGCATAAATTTGACTATGCAGGGTTTCTGAACTGAACATCTACATCACCATCCACTCACCATAGCTCAAAACATAATCAACCAAAAAGGCTGCTTCATTATGCTGTATCATAGTGTGGACTACCACAAAAGATTTACCATAGCTGATCAAACAAAAATCCATAATGCCAGGGTCTTCAGGAACCTGGTACCTATGACAATGCCAGGAGTTTGCTGGTAGCACTAAACTGGAAGGAATGACTGTTCACACCCAATGTACCCAACTGCTCCCATGGCTCATGAAACCCTACACCAGAATGGAGCAATTCTGGGCAATACCAGAATGGAACTGCTCAGCTACCAACTGAGCAGCTGCCAGATGACCATGAAATGCACCTTTGGGTGCCTCAAAGCATGGAGGGCACAAGGGGACTATCCAGATGCCAGAGAGTACCATCTGTTCTGGATGTTTATTTGCAAGGCCAAGGAATACCTTTCTAGAGGCCTGGGGGCTTGCAGACTAATACTGAGCATCAAAAGCTAAGTTCCTGGAACGTAACTCTCAGATGTCGTGGCAAACTTTTATTGATACAAGGCTGTGAAGTAAAAGGAAAGCACTCTATTAAAGACCGAACAAGTCATGGGACATGTTAAGTGATTACTTGTGAACAAAATGAACCTTTTATTATACAGTCAAAACATGTCTGCTCTTAACAGAAACCAAAAGAAAAAGGTTTTTGAACTGTTACCCAACACTACCAAGGCTTGCTCACTGCCTGCCCAAGGTTAGAGTAGTATGAGAGCATCTTGTCATGTTAACTTGCTGTCCACTTGACACCTAGACTACCTCACCACTCCCAACTGCAACTGAACTCCAGCTAGCTTTGAGCATCAAGGACACTGCAACTGAACTCCAGCTAGCTTTGAGCATCAAGGACACTGCAACTGAACCCCAGCTAGCTTTGAGCATCAAGGACACTG